ATTAATTAAATGAATTATTTTTATTAAAAGGAAGATTATTATAAATATAATAATGTTGTTATAATTGAAAACGATTGAAGGATAATTAAGTAATTGAAGTTGTAAACCTTATTAAGGGTTCCAAATGATTTTTTATAGGGTAGCTTCATGAAATGACAGAATTAACTTGTTAACTTTACGGAAGATGGGAATTTTTTTTCTTTTCTTTTTTTTTGTATAAGTAAGGGATGGTGTTAAACTATCTTGCTGAAACGGTAAAGATTTTGGATATTTGAAGAACTAACTAAATGAATAATTTTTATTAATACGGAGGAGATGGATTGTTTAAGCTTAGATTTTGGAGTTAGAGATATTAATATTTGTTTACTTGTATTTGAATATTAGCCTAGGTTGGTTTGGGAAGTCCGGGGGGTGGGGGGATGGGATATAACATTGTGTAATATCTGTGATGTATTTCTTTTTTTTTATGATAAAAACAATAAAATTTTATATTGAAAAAAAAAAAATATTTTTAAAGTGAACATATTCTTCTTAAAATGTATTTGGTTAAGTGCATATTTTTAAATAAACCATTCTAATTAGCATTTTCAAGATTAATAGATGGTTAATTTTCCAGCTGTGAATTTGAAATTTAGCAATTCAGGTTTTAGTTCCAAAGTTGTATACAAATACTGTGAGGGGGAAAATTATTTGATCCCCTGCTGATTTTGTACATTTGTCCACTGACAAAGAAATTATCAGTCTATAATTTTAATGGTAGGTTTAACAGTGAGACAGAACAACAAAAAAATCCAGAAAAACGCTGGATAAAATTGATTTGCATTTTAATGAGTGAAATAAGTATTTGACCCCTTCGCAAAACATGACTTAGTACTTGGTGGCAAAACCCTTGTTGGCAATCACAGAGGTCAGACGTTTCTTGTAGTTGGCCACCAGGTTTGCACACATTTCAGGAGGGATTTTGTCCCACTCCTCTTTGCAGATCTTCTCCAAGTCATTAAGGTTTCGAGGCTGACATTTGGCAGCTCGAACCTTCAGCTCCCTCCACAGATTTTCTATGGGATTAAGGTCTGGAGACTGGGTAGGCCACTCCAGGATCTTAATGTGCTGCTTCTAGAGCCACTCCTTTGTTGCCTTGGTCGTGTGTTTTGGGTCATTGCCATGCTGGAATACCCATGCACGACTGTTGTGATTCTGTGCCAGCCTGTGATCCCGGTAGTTGAGTCTGGGGAATCAGAGGAGGAGGAGGAGGAGGAGGAGGAGGAGGAGGAGGAGGGGCCTGGAGAGCCATCAGAGTCGGAGGGAGGCTCTGATGAGCTGCAGGACTTACAGACTGATGAGGAGGCTGGTCCTTTCACTCGTGATCGAGCTGAGAGCCAGCTGTGCTGGGAAGCTGAGTCGGACTCGGAGGAAGCACAGCTGGAAGACCTCAGAGACGCTCGTAGACGTAGGCAGGACACACGAGTAGGACAGAGGGAGGCAATGGGGCGACTCCAGGGGAAGAGGAGAAAGCAGTGAGAAGCCACGCTTTGGGGGCTGCGTAACAAAAAGGGAATGTGTGGGCAGGGCTGGTTGCTGGAGGCAACCGTTTGCAAAGAACTTCAGAGTCAAGAGATCATGGTCTGTTTATTTTGTCTGTGAGCTATTTCCTATTTGACTCGTGCTCCGTTGGAAAAGTGTTCTGTTGCTTTTGTTTTCCTGGGACAATTATCAGGTCTGTAACTCAAATTAAAAGGGTTTATTTTCCAGTCTACTGTTAAAAGAGGGTTTGTCTTTGTACAGTAACAAGGACGTATGTAGGCTGGGACAGAACAACGACCTATTTTCAATGCCCTGGCTAAGGGAAGGAGGTTCTCACCCAAGATTTGACGGTACATGGCCCCCTCAAGTTGTCCTGTCCCCTTAGCAGAAAAACACCCCCAAAACATAAGGTTTCCACCTCCATGTTTGACAGTGGGGATGGTGTTCTTGGGGTCATAGGCAGCATTCCTTCTCCTCCAAACACGGCGAGTTGAGTTGATGCCAAAGAGCTTGATTTTGGTCTCATCTGACCACAACACTTTCACCCAGTTCTCCTCTGAATCATTCAGATGTTCATTGGCAAACTTCAGACGGGCCTGTACATGTGCTTTCTTAAGCAAGGGGACCTTGCAGGCGCTGCAGGATTTCAGTCCTTTTTGTTTTCTTGGTGACTATGGTCCCAGCAGCCTTGAGATCATTGACAAGATCCTCCCGTGTAGTTCTGGGCTGATTCCTCACTGTTCTCATGATCATTGAAACTCCACGAGGTGAGATCTTGCATGGAGCCCCAGAGCAAGGGAGATTGACAGTTATTTTGTGTTTCTTCCATTTGCAAATAATCGCACCAACTGTTGTCACCTTCTCACCAAGCTGTTTGGCGATAGTCTTGTAGCCCATTCGAGCCTTGTGTAGGTCTACAATCTTGTCCCTGACATCCTTGGACAGCTCTTTGGTCTTGGCCATGGTGGAGAGTTTGGAATCTGATTGATTGATTGCTTCTGTGGACAGGTGTTTTTTATACAGGTAACAAACTGAGATTAGGAACATTCCTTTTAAGAGAGTGCTCTTAATCTCAGCTCATTACCTGTATAAAAGACACCTGGGAGCCAGAACTCTGGCTGATTGATAGGGGATCAAATACTTATTTCACTCATTAAAATGCAAATCAATTTATAACTTTTTTGAAATGTGTTTTTCTGGATTTTTTTTTGTTGTTATTCTGTCTCTCACTGTTAAAATACACCTACCATTAAAATTATAGACTGATCATTTCTTTGTCAGTGGGCAAACGTACAAAATCAACAGGGGATCAAATATTTTTTTCCCTCACTGTATATACACCAAAAAACTACATATAGAGGTAGTTCTCAAGTTACAACAGCAATTGGGACCAGGATTGCCATTACTAAGCGATGTGGTTCTATAGTGCAACATCACATGACCGCATTGCTTAAGATTCCCTAACTTTAAAACAGCTCTTGGGTGGCGACAGTTACCCAGCATGAGGGGCTCAAGAAAAGGAGGTGCCGGCAATGCTAACTCCCAAGAATGAGGGGCTCAGAGGCAGCTACAAGCATGAGAGGGAGGGGAGGGGGCAAAGAAAGGAAATCAAACCTGATTGACAGGGAGCATCCTAACCCTGCCCCTACTCCGCAGAGGGCAGATCCCCATCATCCCCAGCCTGGCAGGGGTCTTCCTGTCCCACCGTTGCAGACAAAGGGGGGGCTCCAGTGAAGAGGAGGAGGAAGAGGGTTTAAGCAAGCTCAGCAACCAAAGTGGGGATCCCGCCCGTAAAACAAACGTGCTTCATGGGTAACCTCCCAGCACAACAGAAGTGACCAAAACCTGCTGCAACCACCCAGCAGACAGGTGGGGGAGGAATAAAAACCAAACAGCCCCCCCACCAACTCTCAACAGAAAGCTCACGACAACGAAAACCTCGGACAGGGGGAAGAGCGTGGGCAGGCAGGCATCTTGCTCGGCTGATGGCTTGGGGGGGGGGAATGACAGTCACAGAGTCCCAGGGTCATGTCATTAAATTTCAGACGCTTGACAACTGACTTGTATTTATGATGGTCGCAGTGTCCCGGGGTTACGTGATCAAAATTCGGATGTTTGGCAACTGACTCATATTTATGACAGTCACAGTGTCCCCAAGGGTCATCCAATAATAATAATTTTCGTTTTTTAAGTACAAATTTTCTCAGCTTCTCTTTGCCAGAGAAGTGTGATTAGCACCCAAGAGAGGATGAGGGGGGAAACAGGGCAGAGGAAGGGGGGGGGAATCAAAACAAGAAAAAAAAATGATTACATCCACATCCAGCTCTTGGGGGGGTGGAGTGGGGGATTTTTATTTTTTGCCTCGTTTTGCTCTTTTAAAAAGACCGCGCCCCCAATGCCCCCCACCCACGACGCCAGAAGCCGCGCGCCATCACCATTCACCTGCCATGCCCCCCACAGCCCCAAAGCCTCTCTCTTTCCCTTCCTTTGAAACAAACAAGCCCACCCTCAAATCCTCCGGTTCCTCCCTTATGAATTAAAACGAAAGAAAGCCAAGTTTTTTCTTTTGTGATCTTTACATATTTAAACTGCTAGAAGGGAGTGGGGAAGAAAACCATCGCGAGACACTTCTGTTTTAACCTTTTTTCCTTGTCATTTTTCAAACTTTTCATCCTGCTTTCGTGAGAGGGCAGCGTTTGGGGGTGGGTGAAGCAGCCCCCTCCTCCCCAAGCCATCAGCCAAGCAAGATGCCCGCCTGCCCACGCTCTTCCCCGTCCGAGGTTTTCATTGTCGTGAGTTTTCTGTTAAGAGTTGGCGGGGGGGGGCTGTTTGGTTTTTATTCCTCCCCCCACCTGTTTGCTGGGTGGTTGCAGCAGGTTTTGGTCACTTCTGTTGTGCTGGGAGGTTACCCATGAAGCACGTTTGTTTTTTGGGGGGATCCCCACTCTGGTTGCTGAGCTTGCTTAAAGCCTGTTCCTCCTCCTCCTCTTCACTGGAGCCCCCCTTTGTCTGCAACGGTGGGGCAGGAAGACCCCTGCCAGGCTGGGGATGATGGGGATCTGCCCTCTGCGGAGTAGGGGCAGGGTTACTATGCTCCCTGTCAATCAGGTTTCATTTCCTTTCTTTGCCCCACCCCACCCTCCCTCCCTCCCATGCTTGTAGCTGCCGCTGAGTCCCTCATTCTTGGGAGTTAGCATTGCTGGCACCTCTTTCTCCTGAGCCCCTCGTGCTGGGTAACTGTCGCCAACCAAGAGCTGTTTTAAAGTTAGGGAATCTTTCGGGGATAACCAACTAGCACCCCGACAGTCTCCCATGGCTACTACCTGCCACCTGATTGGCTGGCGGCTATCTGTCCCATGCAGCCAAAGGCTTGGGACAAAGAGGGCCTCGGCGAATGGGCCGGGCTGAAGGGCAGAGGACAAGGGGCCCATTGGCCATGGAGAATGGCTGGGGGAGGACCAGCAGAGGAGGAAAGCTGGCTGCAAATGGTCAGAGGCAGTAGGCTTGAGAAGAAGGCGTGGCCAAGGGTGGGAGGCGAAAGATCCTAGGCCCGCTGCAGTACAAGTGCAGGAGGCCAGGGAAGGAGGGTGCAGGGTGTATGCTATTTGGAGAATGGTGCAAGTGACATTGGGAAGAAGGCTTGGCATAGCCAGCAGCTGCCTTACATAGGGTCAGGCCGGGCATGCCTTATCAGCAGAGAGAACACAGAGAAGATCAGCTGCATGCAGCAGTGATGACAGCTGGGAGTTTGCTCTGTGGCGCTGGGATGGCTGGCCAGTGTGGGGCTTGAGGCAGCACTCCTTGGTGGTGGTGGCGCTCAGGCTAAAGTAGAGGCCTGGGGGTGGTGACAGCCAGCTGACACTGCTGAAGGCCCTGGGCCTCTACATCAGCCCCAGGGCTGCCAATTAGTGTTGCTGTGCAGGGTGACCAAAAGGGAAGAAATGGGGAGGAGATAGGTGGATTGGGGGACTTGATGTGCCCCTGTGGTCGTAAGGTGGGTTGCTAAGCACCCAAATTTTGATCACGTGACCCCAGGGATGCTGCAATGGCTGTAACTTCGGGGACCAGGATTAAGTAGCATTTTTTGAGTGCCGCCTTAAATCACTGAACAAATGGTTGTTAACTTGAGGATTACCTGTAAACTGATGTGTGTGAAAATGACACGAACCAGACATAGACAGTTTTGTTCACCTATGCTAAAAGCAAATTTTTATTATCAAGTCACAAGATTAGCCCATCCTACTCAAACAGGTTATTAATCTCTTGTGAAATAAAGCCAACCAAATTTAAAAGATAGATTAATTTGGTAGTAATCTATATCACAAACCAGCAAATATTATACATTATAAGAATAATAAAGGCAGGATATAAATAAATATTTTAAAATATCCATATTCAAACTTTCTAAGGATTAGCCTCATCCATTCAGAAATACTATTTTCTATCCAATCCTCTATGTTATCTGCCAAGATGACAATGGTTGGAAAGAGGAGTTGAAATTGTCACCAGTTTCTCACAGGTGGTAAAGCTGTGGTGACTTACTGTATCTTTCAATTCATTATTTGAAAACTGTCCACTCATAAAGTTAGTTGAGCAAGGATTTACTACATGGCTATATTAACTCCAGAAAAATCTAGAACTGCAAGCAGTACAAAGCCCTTATAATGCTCAAGGCACCCCAAGTAACAGTATAAAAATGCAATCCTATGTTAAATGTTTTATATACAGGTAGCCCTTGATCCAAGTTACAACAGTACTGAATGAATGGTGGTTACAACTGGTTCTTAGAGTTCCTGCTGTTCCAACACTCCCATGATCATGTGATCATGATCTGGGTGCTTGACAACTGATTCACACTTGCTGGACCGGAGTTCCGAACTGGTTGCAGCACCCCACGTTCATGTGATTGCCATTTGCAACCTTCCATGCCAGATTGTCAATGTTGCAAAGTCAATGGGGAAGCTGCCAGGGAAGGTCACAAGTCACTGGGATAAGTCTCCCACTCCACCTCCTCCAGCCCCTCTATGCTCGGACCACACCAGCCACTTATACCCCTGCATATCTTCCCCAACCTGCACCACACCCTTGCGCACCCTCCCCAAACCATGCCACACCCCTGCGTACTCTCCCTGACCCATGCCACACCCCTGTGCACCCTCTCCAACCCATGCTGCACCCTTCTACAACCTTCCTGACCAGCACCACACCCCCACACACCTTCCCCCATCCAACCTTCCCGACCCTCACCTCTTACCCTCCCTATCCCATGGCTCTTGTGTACCTCGTACCCTCCCTGGCCGTCACTGCACCTCTCACACACACCCTCGCTGTACCTCCCCTGCACCCCTTGTTCTCTCTCCTACCTGGCAGCAGCTACTGACCTGCCTGCTGGCCTGGAACTTGCAACTTCCTGCCAGCTTCCCCTCCGACTTTGGTTGCAGGAAGCCAGCAAGAAGTTGCCTTGCCTAACAACCATGGGATTCAGTTAGTGGCAAATGAGACTGCAGGGATTGCTGTCATTAAGTAAGCCTCACAATCATGAATTTTCCTCATCTCCTACTCTACAATTCAATTTTTATATTGCAACTTATTATTTGATTGGGATAAACATAAACTCAGATTTGTGAGGAAAAAGGAATGGTAAAATATATTGCTATTCTGATGAATGAACCAGTTCTTATATGCCAGCCTCATTTGGAGTGCATTGTCATGGTCACATGCATGAAAACATGTAGTTTAAAATAGCACTAACATTTTAAAAAATCCCATTCTTGGATAAATAAGGTATAGATACTGTAATCAGTATTTATATACTGTATATGTGTTTCCACAAATTACTGAAATATAAAGTCAGCTTTGGAAAAAGAGAAATATTGAACACAACAAAAGATGATAAGTGGCCAACATGCTCTGACATTCTATTTTTATTGTGTACCCTTCCATTTCTTCATAAAGTTTGAAAAATTATATTTAAGTTTGAATTGAATTCTATAAAAATCCCACTGTAATCTTGGCACATTCCTGTCTCATATTCTGTTTCTTAGAATTAAGCTTTGGTGAACATAATGGAATATGTAACCAATATGTACATTTACATCTGTGATCAATAAAGATAATTATCACTACTTACCAGAGCAATGTGGCTGTTATTCCAAGTGTTATTGTCAACTAGAGTCGTTCGATTTGCCATTCCAGCTATTTGATAGCCATAATCCCACCAAGACATTACTCTGGCATGTTCATCTGTATTTTGCCTTAGCCAATAGTATGCTTCTCTAAAGTCATCCAAAATGTTCCGAGTACTGTCAGAGAAATAAGAGTTAAAACCATGTAAAAGTATTTATCTCTACATATTAGCAGTGCTTTGAGTAATTACAATACATCATAAGCAAAGGTTACATAAAAAAGAGTGACTCTTACCCATCATGATTGTAAGAAGCCAGGACAACACTTGGACTAGAATAGGCATTGCTGGTTACCCATGTACAGTGAACAGCAAACATCATCAACAGCATTAGCATCAACATTGTGACAATGCTCTTTATATTGGGCCCAAGACCATCTTCAGTTTTTTCCTGCTCAGATATGTGTTTCCTCACTTTACCTGCCTGAGCAAAGAAAACAAATAAAATCTTTCCCTTTTACTGTCAAACTTTAGAGTTTAAAAATCCTGTTTTCAGTCATAAATGTCCCACCAGTTCTGATTTTAAAAAGGACATTAACAATTAAAATGTTGCAGGTGAAAATGGTTTTTCAAACTGGAATGTATGAATGGATAGTAATAATCTAAATCTGCCCTCATTTAATATATCCAACCATGTTTTTGGACACTAAAATGGTTTAATGAAAGAAGAAAAAATGAACAGTTTGCTAAGTATGTAGAGATTACAAACAACATTACTATTTCCACTACGATTTTCACATATATTAAATGTTTATGTTTAATTTAAACAGTTATCATCAAACTCTTCAAGGCTCACCTTATCATAAAGATTTCCTGGATTTCTTTTATCATCTTCATCACTGCTGTCTTCTATTGGAGGATTTTCTCTCTTCATATCATCACCCAAATAGTGTTCAAAAACACTGGAGAAAGCAATAGCTGACAGCATACAAACCACTGGAGTCAAAGTTAACATCAGGCGAACCATCACTCCAGCAAAATAAACAGCACTGATTGCATACAAAGCCACTGCAAAGAAACCATTCAGTTTTACTATTAGGTTCATCACAGATGAAATTTTCCAAATGCTTTATAAGCTTGAATTAAAGCTTGTATGTTTGTTTCCCAAAAATTCATATGAATAAAACTGTATCATCATTTGAATTATACCATAACTTTAAAATTCAGTGAAAGGGCTTTTTTTTAGTAAGCCATATTACTAGTAAATAGCTATTGTTCTAGTGGTGTCAGGCGAAAGCAACCAGAACCATTTGTAAAGAGTGTCAACAGTAGTTTATTGCTAGTCAACTATGTTACAAGAATCCCACCAGACTGACTGCATTCCCTTGGGAACAGCAAGATAATGTTTTAAGGATACTGGGGGAGGTCCAGCCTGTGTCGCTTACTGCAGTGCAACAAATCTAAACATGGGTGCCTCTTGACCCCTCCCTCCAGTCTAGCTGGAGATTTCACACAAGTGGTCAGCTTTTGTCATTATATCAGCTTTGATAGTTTTAGTCTATTCTTATGTTTCTATGTTGCAAATCAGTAGGAATCATTTTTGTTGAATCCAGCACTACATAAATTTAAGCAAATAAAATATGAATAAATAAAAAACATAATTGGGGCCTGCATCTGGGTTACTTTGGCCTAGATATCCAGTTTAACATACGAAGTACATTTAGCAATTTACAAAAATTGCTTCTTGCCCAGCAAAAACAATACAGGGAGTGCCTGCGAGTAGAAGATAACTGCTATAATAATTTTAGTATTTACAGAATACTATTTTGAGCATCATAAGCTCCTAGGCAAATGCAATAAAATACAAAAATGCAGAACATAAAGACGAAAAATTAGATGGAAAGAGAATAAACATGAAAATCAGCGAAAAGGAAACCTTATTTTGATCTCTAATAAACACTTAAGAAGTTTCTTTAGATGCTGCTGAAGCAGCTGAAAAAGTAGCACAGTAAATAGGAAGAGAAGTCTTTATTTTTCAGTAAACACATGAAGAAAAATATGAAGCAGCTTTAAAGCATGTGAAATGGAGCTCTATAAAACAAGTCATGTGCAAGCCAGACAAACAGAATCTAATTTTATTAAGCAACACATTTTGGCATATGCATCTATGGCACAGAATGAGACTTTCCTACAGTTGTCTTACTGGGTAAACTTTTTAGCCATTAAAAATACCATTTTGGGTATCCTGGTAAAGATTATAATGTGGGAGACAAGGTAGCAACCCCCAACTGGGCATATCTTGTGAGCAAAGCTCTACTTGTGGATGTTTCCTTTCCCATCAACAGTAACTCCATTTACCATGCTAGACTGTGGTAAACTGGGAGAGTTTACAAGTCTACTGCATAAAGCAGTGATGGCGAACGTTTTAGAGACCGAGTGCCCAAACTGCAACCCAAACCCCACTTATTTATCGTCGGGTGCCCGGTGGGCATGGCCCAGTGGGTGGGCGTGACTACTGGGTGGGCGTGGCTGCAGTGGTCATGGCAGACTGGGTGGGCGTGGCCATGGTGGGCGTGGCCACCTCAATGTTGCTCGTGGGGGACGCCTGTGGGGGCCAGGCAGGGTTGGGGGAGATCCAGGGGGTCTCTGGCGGGTGGGACGGTAAGTAGGAGGCTCGTCCTGTTGGGTGAGGTGAGGTGAGGCAGGGGGCAGGGCAGGGATGCCATTGCCGCAGGGCAAGACAAGGCAAGGCAGGGACTGGGGTGGCTGCTGCCTGACACCATCGGCCCCTGTAAACAGCGAGTGCATTGGGGCCAACTGTGTCCATCAGCAGCCACAGCCTGCCAGCCCCTCGACTGGCGCACTCTGAGGCTCCGCAGCCCGCTGCGAATACCGGGCCAGCCCTCCAGCAGCAGTCGGAGTAGGGGAGGGGGGATCCGGTATAACGGTTCCTTAACTCTGCCCGGCTTGTTCTGTGGCCTAATGGTAGCGGCACTGGGCGCGATGCGCGAGACGGCAAATGGCGGTTTTGGCGCGACGTGGCTGTTTGCTGCTGGCCGCGGTCATTTGCCACCTCACGCGTCGCACCCAATGCTGCTGCCATGAGGCCATGGAACAAGCTGGGTGAAGGTAAGGAACCGGTATACCGGTTTCTTACCGCCGCCAGGCTTGTTCCACGGCCTCATGGCAGTGGCATTGCACAGGAGATGGCAAACGGCTGGTTTTGGCGCGATGTGGCTGTTTGCTGCCAGCCGCGGCCATTTGCCACCTCGTGCATCACACCCAATGCTGCTATGAGGCCGCGGAACAAGCCGGGCGGAGGTAAGGAACCGGTATACCGGTTTACCACCACTGCCTGGCTTGTTCTGCGGCCTCATGGCAGCGGCATTGCGCAGGAGGTGGCAAACAGCTGGTTTCGGCGTGGCGCGGCTCTTTGCTGCATCGTGTATTGCACCCAATGTTGCTACAATGCGGCTTGGCCAAAAGCGGCTGTGGAACAAGTGGGGCAGGTTTCCCCCTCGCCTGCCCATTCGTCTACAGCTTTGGTGGCTCTGTAGGCAGAGCTGCGAAGTTCTCTTCTCTGACAGAGAACTTCGCAGCTCTGCCTACAGAGCCACCAAAGCAGCAGGTGGATCGCCAGAGGCTCAGGGAGGGAGGGCGCTGAAGTGGGCGGTCGGGCCATTGGCAAGAGCAACGCGGTTGAGCGGAAAGCGGCCTCAGAACAAGTGGGGCAGGTAAGGAAAGAAATCCTTGCTCCCTCCAGAAATTGCCTTTCTTTCCTTACCTGACTCCTAGCCCCGTGCCGTTTCTCCTTCGCAATCCACCGCCAGCGCTTGCAAGGACAAAGGAAGTTTTTTTTGGGGGGGGAAAGGTCAATCAATTCCAACTTCTCGTGAAAGATCGCGAAGTTGGAATTGATTGATTGACCTTTTTTCCCCAAAAAAACCTTCGTTTCCTTGCATGCTTCAGCACCCTCCCTCCCCGAGCCTCCAGCACTCCACCTGCTGCTTTGGTCGGCCTGCCAGCCCCCACCTCAACGCCCTGCTCACCGCCTAGCACGTCCGCCCCAGGGCTGCAGGGGATGGCCTGGCATGGGAAGCGCACGCGCCCCACCCTCCTGCCACCATGCAGGGTAAGGTTGCCGGGCCCGCCCCTGCCCAGATGCCCTCGCCTCCCCCAAGTGTTTTTTTACTAACCTGCCTTTCAGCTGCATTCCATTTGTCCGTTCGCTTCTCAGCCTTTGCCGTGTGTTTGTGGGACTATCAGTGAAAAAAAAAGTTTCATCAGACTTTCTAACTTCTCGTGAGATCTCGTGAGAAGTTAGAAAGTCTGATGAAACTTTTTTTTTTTTACCGATAGTCCCACAAACACACGGCGAAGGCTGAGAAGCGAATGGAGAAACAGAATGCAGCTGAAAGGCAGGTTAGCAAAAAAACACTTGGGGGAGGCGAGGGCATCTGGGCAGGGGTGGGCCCGGCAACCTTACCCTGCACGGCTTCGGCAGGTGTCTGGCAGGGGGAGGGAAGCAACTGGTCTACCACCATGCTAGCACCGCCGCGTTGCTTCTCTACCCCATGGACAGGCCCCGCCCCACCCGTCGCATGGAACGCCCTGCTCCCGCCACTCCCCCCACCCCCAAGCGGCACCTTCTTTCAAGCTCCGACACGTCACTTCCTCCGCCGCTGTGTGGGACTAAAAATAAAGTTCAAGCAATCAATTCCAACTTTGCGAGATTTTTTTTTCCCGCGAGAAGTTGAAATTCATTGATTGAACTTTTTTTTTTTTTGCACACGGTGGCGGCGGCCTAAAGCGAAAAGGTTTTATAAAACCCAGCTTAAAAAGCCACTTGCCTGGGGAGATTTTGATGCAGGTTGCTCATGGACAAGACTTAAGGTCTTGAACTGGGACAACGGTGCGCGTGCCCACAGAGAGGGCTCTGCATGCCACCTGTGGCACACGTGCCATAGGTTCGCCACCGTGGGCATAAAGGATAGAGAGGTGTTTCTCAATCTAATCATATTCATTCAGATAATCAAACTTATATTAAACTTATTTTACTGAAAGACATGTCATCTTACCACTCCAACTGACCAGGTTTTAATTACATGAGGTTTTGTGTAGTTATGAAATCTGGTCTACCCTATAGGTACCAAAAACAAATTCTCAGAAACACTATTCTAACAGTTATTTACAGTTGGAAATCACTAGATTTCACCCAGATGGCCTCAGACAACGGATATCCCTTCCATTGCACTAAGTACTGCAATTTTCCCTTAAAAATTCTAGAATCAAGAATACGCTTTACTTCATAGTGAGTCTTTCCTGCCACCACGAGGGGTCCGGGTGCCTTCTTAGGGGGAGGTCTTAAGGTGGAACCCCGAAAAGGTTTCAACAGGCTACAATGGAAAACAGGGTGAACTTTTCCTAAGAGCCTAGGAAGTTTTAATTCCACCGTGACCGGGTTAATGATCATTACAATGGGGAAGGGTCCTAAGTACTTCGGTCCTAACTTACTAGGTAACTTAAGCCATAAATATTTAGTTGACAGATAAACCTTTTCCCCAACTTGGAATGTTCTTTGAGGAGCCCTTTTTTATCTGCCTGTTTTTTGTATGTCTCGGAAGCCTTTTTCAAAGCAGTTTTCGTGGTTTTTCAAACTTCCTCCCACCCCCTCACCCATTGATCAAGAGTCTGGGAAGCGGAGGGAGTTTGGGGGTATTTGGGTATTGGGCTGCACTCTTTTCCTGTGGCCACTTTAAAAGGCGTGAAGCCGGTGCTGCTGTGAACAGAGTTATTGTAAGCCACCTCTGCGAAAGAGAGGAGGTCAGTCCAGTCCGTTTGTTGATATAGCATCGGAGATACTGCTCCACCATTGAGTTCACACATTCAGCCGTCCCATTGGTAGATGGGTGAAAAGCCGATGATAGTCCTTGAGATGAGCCAATTAGTTTAAGAAAACTCCTCCAAAACTTAGCTGTGAACTGCACCCCCGTCAGAGATTATCCATTTAGGTGCGCCATGCAGTCTGTAGATATGTTTCAGGAATATTTTGGTTAGTCGTTGGGTGG